ACGAAGGGGTGGGAGGGGTCTCAGGAACTTTTTGTTCATCCACTTGTGTCCAGAATGCTCAACTTGTCAGTGCTTGTGTCATTAACCTGACAGCCTCGAAGCCAACTCGACGCAATGATTGGCCTTGCTGCCGACAAACCATGACATGGGTGGCATCATTTGCCGTCTCTTCCGACGTCCTTCCCGAAGAGTGCAGATTGTCGCTCTGTTCCCGCATCTCTGAGTGGCCAGCAGAGTCGGAACTCGCTTCTCCAGCTCTTCTACTCTCGCGTGCCTTTGCAGGGATTCAACTCGGGTGATTAACTGAGAAAGTCTTGGCCTCGAAGGCTTGGAGGGGGACAACCGCGCTAGACAGGCATCATCCTCGGACCCCAAGGTCCCTTTGCTATCGGCAGATCCACTGGAAGCAGGGCCCTTTTGCATTGAACGACTTTTTGTCGGAGGAGTGGCGACGCGGGTTGGCTAGCTCGCAGCCACCAACGCGTTGGTCTTGTTGCCCTTTTCCTCCTTTTGGCTCTAGCGGTCGAGCCTGGGGTACGACCTGCGGCTTCTGGCGATGCTTCCCACGCTTCCCCGACCTTGGCCACCCGTCTTGGACATTGCTTGAGTTGCTTGAGATGTGCTTGGCTGCCAACCTCTCTGCCACACCCGGCGACGCCATGCCCTCCCGCGGTGACTACCTGCTCTTCTCGTGCTTGGCGCCCAGCCCCCTTGGCGATCGATCAGCGAGGCGGCTCTTTGAATGGTCTGTTGAGTGCGGAACGACTCACCTCGATGCTCTCAGTCAGCTCTCTGGCTCCTGTCAGTCTGACAACCCCGACGTTGTGCGCCCCATGTCGTCAAGTCAGTGTGCAACTTTGGCGGCTGGAAGATGGGAGGCGGCGGTGGCCGGCGGCACGACGGCGGAGGAGGGTAGCGGGATGGATCAATTGCCAACGCCCCAACGCCATTCCCGCTCAAACGGCGCTCAATGGCCCTGGCCTAACCATCGAATGACAAGAGGCCTCTTGGTCATTTTTGGAGGCGGACAGGCTCCGCGACCGCACCGTCGAACAGTACATGAGTACCTAATTTGCTCCAGTCACCGAGAGAGGCCTATCAGGGGGTGGAGAAGAGACGGGCGGAATGTGTCCACCCCCAGAGCACCCCTCCACTCCCACCATCCAGCCCGTTCCTCCTCGAACTGCTAGTTCGTTGCCTGCAGTTCTTCGGGTGGTCCTCATCTGCGAGGATATCGAGGTATCGAACGCGGGTTGGCGGGTTGGTCGGTTGACTCTCTGTGCCGTGGTATCCTATCAAACGGCACGATCACACCTCTTACGAGCAACTAGAACCGTCCCTTCCCACCCTTCTAGACGGTGGCGAGGAAGGATAGACCCAACAAGAGTCCTCTCGAGACGAACGATTGGTGCACATCAGGGGCGATTTCGTTTATCGGTCACGTCAGTGCGTCTGTCAAGGACAAGCTACCGCCCGTTCCACGGCTCCAGGTGTGTGTACTCCATAGGAGAGACACACACCCTCTCGTCCAAACAAGCTTCCGCTTGCATCCAGCGCAATATCTACATAGTAGCCTTTTCGTATCGCCCGATACTCCGCCAGGGGTTGGCCCGCTTCGCCCACGACTGACTCCATTAGGCAGGTCAATATCTCGGCCCACTGGTCGCCGATATGGCAACCGATCATGGAGTCCATCAACGAGGCCCTGGATGTGCGACGCATCTAAATACTACCCGACGCGCTCTCCCTCGTCGTGCTCGATTTTGGTTTCTTCAGCCCACAAGCTCTACGACCAGAGACTCCCCCCTTTGAGTTCCATTCTTTTGAGGACTCAGGGTGCAACCCGAACGCAACACCAACCCGGTAACCAGTAACTGAAAGATTGCCAACCATGGCCTTCAGCAAGTGGAGGGGCAAGGTCGGAGAGCGGCCCATCGTGGTCGACGCCGTCTCGACCGGCGTCGATGCCAACGGTCTCGAGACCGTCAACCCGGAAGCCGAACTCAAGAAGTTCAAGAAGATTCACAAGTGGGATCCCTTTTTGGACATTGACAAGCTCGATGCTGCCGACGCCGCTGTCCAGTCTGGTGACTACGAGAAGGAGGCGGCCGTTGAGGCTGCTCTCCACGAGGACTCTCCCTACCCCGAGGTCCGCGCTTCGGTGAGTTTATTCAACGTCCTGAGTCGAGCGACGGGCGTCATGACTAACAAGCTTAGGTTCAACCTTTTGACGATACCGACTTGCCCATTAACACCATCCGTGCCTGGGCGATTGGTGCCATCATGTGCACACTCATCGCCGCCTGCAACATTCTTCTCGGTCTCCGTCGCTCACCCATCATCATCACCTCCACCGTGGTGCAATTGATCTCCTACCCCCTTGGCTGCTTCTGCGCCAAGGTCATCCCGGAGATCAAGTTCAACCTCTTCGGTCATGAGCTCAACACCAACCCTGGTCCCTTCAACGTCAAGGAGCACACCATCATCACCATGATGACTGCTGCCGGTGCCACCGCCAGTTACGCCATTGATATCCTCCTCGCCCAGGAGATCTTCTACAAGCAATACTTTGGCTGGGGATTCCAGATTCTGCTCATTATCTCGACCCAGGCCATGGGTCTTGGTATTGCCGGTATTCTGCGTCGCTACCTCGTCTGGCCCGCCGCCATGGTCTGGCCTGCGACCCTTATCACCACCACCGTCATGCACTCACTTCACGACCACTCGTCTTCAGATCCCGCCCTCACCAACGGCTGGAGGATCGGTCGCTACAAGTTCTTCCTCATTGTGGCTGCCGCTACCTTTGTCTATGAGTGGATTCCCGAGGTGTTTGCCCAGTTCCTGCAGATCTTCACTTTTGTCTGCTGGATCGCCCCCAACAACGTTGTCGTCAACCAGGTCTTTGGCGGTCAGACCGGTCTCGGTTTGATCCCCATTTCCTTCGACTGGAGCACCATTTCCGGTTTCTTGCTCTCTCCCCTGCAGACTCCGGCTTTCGCCATCGCTAACGTCGGTGCCGGCATTATCATCATGATGATTGGCTGCATTGGTCTTGCTTGGGGCGGACCTGAATTCTACCGCTACCTTCCCATCAGCGCCAACTCCAACTTTGACCACTTCGCTCAGCCCTACAACACAAGTCGTATCTTGACTCCCGACTTCACTTTCAACGAGACCGCCTACCAGGAGTACTCCCCTCTCATCCTGGGACCTGCCTTCTCCCTGTCTTACGGCATGGGTTTCGCTGGTCTCATCAGCACGCTCGTTCACGTTGCCCTCTTCTACGGCCGTGACATCATTGACCGAACCAAGTCTGCTTCCAACGAAGAGGCTGATATCCACCTCAAGCTCATGCGCCGCTACAAGGAGGCTCCCGAGTGGTGGTTCGCAACCATGTTCGCTGTCAGCTTTGCTTTTGGTATGATCGCTTCTCAGGTCTGGAACACTCACTTGACCTGGTGGGCCTACATCATCTGCATTATCATCGGCGCCTTCTTCATTCTTCCCGTTGGTATCATTCAGGCAGTCACCAACCAGCAGACCGGTCTTAACGTCATCACTGAGATGATTGTCGGTTACATGACGCCCGGCCGCCCCGTTGCCATGATGCTGTTCAAGTCTTGGGGTTACATGCTCTGCTACAACGGTCTCCAGTACGTGTCTGACATGAAGGTCGGCCACTACATGAAGATTCCTCCCCGCACCATGTTCGCCGCCCAGACCTTCGCCGTCGTTTGGCTGTCCCTCGTTCAGATTGCCTCTTACAACTTCCTCCGTGGCAACATCGATGGCGTCTGCACCTCCACTCAGGCTCAGGGTCTTACTTGCCCTAATGCCCGCACTTTCTACAACGCCAGTGTCATTTGGGGTGTCATTGGTCCTCGCCGTATGTTCGGTGCCGGTCAGCTCTACTCTTGGGTCAACTATTTCTGGCTTATCGGTGCCGCCTGCCCCGTCATCCAGTTCTTCCTCGCCCGCCGCTACCCCCGCAGCATGCTCCGATACGTCTTCTTCCCCGCTATCTTCGGTGCCGCTGGTATGATCCCTCCTGCCACCACCTGGTGGTTGGGACAGTGGGTTATTGTTGGTCTCATCTTCAACTGGTGGGTTCGCAACCGTTTCTTCGGCTGGTGGAGTAAGTCTTTCCCCGTTTGTGACTAGTGCCCCACTTGGACTAGTCGCCGTGCTATCACGTGTGCTAACCCAACTCTCAGCTCGTTACAACTACGTCCTCTCCGGAGCCCTCGATATCGGCACCGCTCTTTGCATCGTCGTCTCTGGACTTGCTCTGGGTCTTTCAAACACCTCATTCCCTGATTGGTGGGGCAATACGGTGCCTTTTTCCGTATGTTTATCTCTTTATCTGCCTTCAATGGTCCTGATTCTAACTTGTCAAACCAGAACTTGGATGCCGATGGTGCCGCCGTTACAAAGATTCTACCCGACGATGGTTCTACCATTGGACCTACCCACTGGTAACTTGTGAAAGAGTATAGCGAGTGGAACGACCCTGTTCAGCATATACACTACGAGCATGATGCCAGCCTTCGAGCGTAATTTAATACACATTGGTTTCTATGATGATACATGTTTGTGAGACTTCAGTATTCATGCCGTAGATGAAGACCTTGCGCAGAATGAGTCCGATCACTCCGGTGCTCGGTGTCATCCATGAAACCATCGCAGAGATGGGCTCCAGGAACGAGAGGTACGGAGTTTCCGGCTCTGGATAATGGGGTGATAGGATAGCCCATTTAGACCGCAAGTAAAGCTGGGCGAGAAAGAAATCGTGAAGCTGAGCCCGCGTGTTGATCTGGTATCTGTTTACAACGCGCACGCGACGCGGGGTCTGTTCCATCATCATTACGTTTTGTTGCAGTTTTCACCATATCCTCCATTCTTATACTGAGCCGTAAAAATGCGGGGTACTCACAAACATTAACGTGGTCCAGCTTACCAACGACGTTTCCTCACAATAGTGGCGGCTATCCACAATCAGTATGGAAAATCCAAGAGACGGCCGACCAAGCACAATTATCGAAATCGCTCCTGATGGCGACCTCCTTCTGTTAGTTGGGCCAGATGAGACAAGAATGCGCGTTCATTCTATGTCATTGATGGCAGCATCGAAACCATTCTCCGTTATGCTCGGGCCAGACTGGAAGGAAGGCCGTGAGATGCACAATCAGGGTAAACCTTCCGAACTATTGCTGCCTGAAGACAATGTTGCTGCATTGAGAATCATCTGTTCCGTCATTCATCATAAGAATAGTGAGGTGCCTCGAACTCTTGCTGTTGGCGATGTCCTCGCAGTCGCTGTGGCCGCGGACAAGTATGATTGTGGCAATGCTCTCAAATTTGCCGCCGAAAGCTGGCTTCGACCTTCTGGAGAATCAGCTGGCAATCTTATGCTTCTCACTGCCGCAGCATATCTCTTGCAGAGTGCTCAAGCTTTCAAGGAGATCACGAGAGCATTGATACTTGACCATGATGGTCCTTATCTTGATCTCTGTTGGAAAGATGCCGAGTCTCTCATGACATGGAGGGTCTTCTGTAAGTATCATGAGGATCTTTTGAACCTATAACTAACAAGCAACCGGGCAGGTCTGCTGGAAGAGCAGAGAGGGCTCGCAAGGCTGAGGCTGGCAGAAATACTTACTGCCGGGGTGAACGATGTGGATGGGCTGTGCGTTCACAAGTGCGGATGGACGAGCAAATATGCATATGCATACATGAAGCTGTTGCAAGAGGAAGACCTTTGGCCAGCACGTCTATTTCATACTTCTATCACTAAGGCACTGGAGTTAGCAGAAAGGATGCCTGACCCGATCCCTGAGTAATCAAGCACTAAATGTACTTATGAGTACAAGCACACTGTTCCAGCCTACAGGCGAAATCGTAGTCCGAGTCTGAACACCTTTCAAAAAGGTATCGGGCTTTGCCTACGGTGCGTTCGCTCAGGCAGCATGAGTTCTAGTTGTTACGAGCCCTCCCATAGCGACATGTAGTAAGACCGAGCGTTGGAGACAAGTAGTGTTTTGGTCAGATGATGGGACCTTCTCTATTGATATCTCTGGCTTAGCCACGAGAACATCACCAATGTCGTTTGAAATGTAGCTTGCTGGGCAGGCAGAAAAGTACATTTCTTCATTGATGACTCATACTCTGTGTTTGGTTGTGGCCGTGGTGTGATATGTGAGTCCCAAGTCCACCCATGGTAATCCTTGAATAACATCTGACTGGGTGGTGTCTGAGAAGATAGGTCATGATGGCCAAGAGCGATGGTTGAGAGCCTGTCGTGATCGTGAGTAGCTTCTCAAATTGGTCCTTGTATAGGTCCTGAAGACCACTTTCCAGTTGAGGAATAACTCGTTTTCACGCTCTTCTGTGGTGTTTTTGAAGCTGGAAGATGACGGGCCGTCTTACGTATACTAGTAGATGGCTCCTCGAACGACTCGCTTGATCTTGAGGTGGAAAAAAGTGTCAGTAGGAAGAAGACCGCCGGCAAAGCCCGACCAGTAGCCACCCCATCGCGTCGCAACGTATAGGTACGATACATTACACACAATCGATAAGGCCAGAAGAGTTGGGTCATCGGAGATAAAGTGTAAATAACAATAATTTACCCAATCACCTTTCCCTTAGCTTTATATCGAGTCTTACAATTTAATAACCTTACGTGGACCTCTGGGTGCTCGTACTATTCTAACCATGCTGGCGTCTCCATACACCAAATGGGCTGGCCAGGCGCGGGCCAACAGGTGGCAGGCATCAGGTTGGACGGCCACATATGTCTAGCTGAGAAGGGTTGCCAGAGAACGTCTCTATCACCTTCTGGTCACGTGGGAAGGCGCAGTCGGAAAATTAGGAAGATAGGATGGGAAAGAGGCAGGCGCGAGGGTTTTATGGTAGGGATTGGGAAGCTGACTGATTGGACGTTTGGCAGAGGGCAGGTAGTCCTGCTCGCAGGCAGAGAAACCCTTAAGGCTCAGTCATTTCACGTCGTGAGCCGTTTGGGTGGCCAAAAATAACTTTGATGAATAGAGAGGAGAAAAACAAAACAAAAATGAATGGACATGGTGGGAATCGAACCCACGCTTCCTCTCATTGTCTGCTTAGAACTGTATTACCGCAAGCGGTGTATGGTATGGAAGGAGTGAGCGAGCTCGACTCCTCTAAGCATGAAACGGAGACGCTCTACCACTGAGCCACACGTCCGTCTGTTTTTGTTAGAATGGAAAGAGCATCAGAAACTCAAGTACTGCCTAGCGCAGGTTGCGCCGCAGAAATCTACCTAGACATGGGCCGTATTATCGCGGGTTGTGGTGTGTACCTACTCATATTTGCGCCCCAGTCCGGTATCTTGTTTAATAAAAGTTAATTTAAGATCGTTTCTGGAATAAACGTCTACTTTCTAAGGCTCGATAGGCATTATGAAGACTAGAATCTCCTCTTTAAAAAGAGATATTTGAATGAGGTCACATGGAGGGAAGGAGCTGCCCGCAGTACTGCCGTACCTGATGAACTTTACAAATTGAGTAAGGTCGAAGAAGTCATGCACTCGAGCTCACTTGTGCCATTGTTTACGTACAGCTTTAACTGTTTAGATATTGACTGCACCGACAAAGACCGAGTGAAAGGTTTTCCGGAGCCATGATAAAGTGGTGCTGACATACACCAAGAGACACCCAGCACTTATAGGTAGGTACTACTCAAAGTCATTGCCAAGTTTAGAAATGTGAGCCGGGGGGTGCCGTCGAGTCCCTGCTGGCCAGTAGAGTCAGTTAATGGAGAGGTTGGATGTTAGAAGAACCCATGTGTGGTCCGAATCGACACAGTACTTGCACTCACAGCATTCGTGTTCGGGTCCCCATCTTCACCTTACATCACATGTTTGGAGAACGGATTCCATCTACAATACGTCGATGGAGATTTCGTTATCGTCGAGTATTATCGTCCAGTACCTAGTACGTGATGATCTGGCCCCGTTGCGTTGCAGAGTCGTCAAAGTTCTAGCGGCGGCTCGGGCCGTCGCATGGGCCCGTCCAATCGGAAGCCCCACTCGCCGTGCCAGTCAACTGGGTTGCAGGGCCAAGGTCAGTCTGTCACTTCACTTCCTTTATGAGCAACGAACCTGCGGTAAGATCTTCGTCTTCTCCTTCGAACAGACTCTAACCTTCAGACATCAATTCGAGCGGTCTCTCCCGGAGCAAAAGAAAATCCAACAGTAACAGTAACCTGAGCAGCAGCAGATCCAGTAGCTCATGCGGCAGCAACAACACCAACCTGGGAAGCTCTACTATGAATACTCCAACTTGAGGTCGCCACATGAGGATTATGCCTTACTGCCTACCTAAACCGATAGTCCAGCTTGGAATCTCGATGATCTTTGCATGGTTTGCTCAAAATTAGTCACCAATGTCACCAGTCTAATGTACAAATAGCCAACCTCGATCAAAGGCTTACAGGCGAGTAGCGTTCTTATCATAACGTAGGCTAGTGACTTCAATTGCATTGGTGTTGTTAGTATGATTCTATCGTACGGGTCGTTGATAAGTAGGCATCCTGAATTGAGTAGATAGGGTGGTAACAGCATTTTACAATCGAAGAAAAACACAAAAATAAAAGTGGACGTGACAGGAATCGAACCCGCTCCTCCTCGTTCCGTGGTTATCAACTACATTAGACAGGGCCATGGGCCACTGCCTGGAACGAGACGCTCAACCAATGAGCCACACACCCTTTTCTTGTTGCAATTAGAGAACCGTGAGAGGCTTATAGACCACCTGGCGGGTGCGGCAGTATCCAGCATGGGAGCCTTTTTGAGCTAGGTATGCCAAAGAATTCGCGGTATAAGGTCATCATACCTAACCAGCCCAATTTCTTACAATATTCTTTGTTTTGCTCCAACCCAGACATGGTTCACAGATAGCCTATGATACGGACTTGCCCGAACGTTTAAAACTTACAGCTTACGTGGCTTCGTTATGTGATGAGAACCGAAACGCTATCTGAGGAGACTAGTACCAGCGGTACACGTACCTTTGGCCACATGCATCGTCAATGATGCATGCTGACGTCTTAGCACACGAACCAGGGCTGGCCATACGCAGAATGAAACGCGACAGCTGGCGTGCTACAGTGCCACATATGGCACTGTGAGATTTTATTGGCCAAATTGCACTTTTACTGGCCGAACGGAAGGAGCTAGTTGATCTTTGGATTGGGAAAGAGACAGGCATGGCGTTCGTTATGGTTGTTGAAAAATTGAGGACTGAATGATTAGGAGTCTAGCAGAAGGCATTTTCTGCTGGAATCCTAGAGGCTCGCCGGATTCTGGAACTTGGAGACATGCATTCGTAAGGCCCAACCTACCTTACCTTACCTAGGTACCTTATTACGTCGTGGTTGAAACGGACGTTGGATGATGTTGACCTGTGGCTGAACGGTGCGGCGCATATCGTGGCTTAGTCTCCGGCCCAAGTGAAGGCAGGGGCAGGTAGGAGCGTGGCAGGGGCCGACTACTGCAGACCCCTTTCGTCTAAGATTGTGGTAGTTGGAACATGGGACCCACTCAATAAGCAGGCACCCAGGGACTGTCTAAGTCAACCCGCGGTGGAAGGCACAGGGTACCTGTTAACAGAATTCGTAACTGCTCAACAATAATGGCACCAACCATGATGGCTTTAACCTTGATGACCGAAATATTTGAACACAACTACCTTGTTCGTCTCCCCTTGAGGTATGAAATTCCACGTAGGTTTGCTAATCTGAGATCCAGGACATCAACACCATGAATAGGCGGTAAACTACCAACCGGAAAGTGTCGCTCTCAGATCATCTCTACACGATGTCAACTACAGAGGGTCTTCCGGATCCCGACTACCTCGGAGATTTCGAACAGAAGCTACCTCTCATTCGGAAGATCTATGGATCGTTGGACGAAATCACGATGCCTGAACTTAAGACAGCTCGGTTTTGGAGCGGTCTTTGGGTCCTCGACGTTCACTCTTTAGTGGACATTGCAGAAAAGTTGGAGGAAGTCAGACCCGACTACCGAGCGTTTTACACGTACCTTAGCAAGCAGAGTATGGCAGCAGCTGACTTTCCCAGATTGATCAGAACGTGTATGGTCTTCTCGCTTCAGTTCAAACCTGCAAATACTAATTGGTTTCTCAGTCATGAAATGATACGACCAGGGGAAGGATTCTGGGGTGGCACAGTTTGATGAGGAAATCTTGGGCGATACAGCATCCTCTGCGACAAAGAAATGCCGAGCTTCCTCATCTGAGCAGTCGGCTGCACCCAAGAAGACGCTCCAGGAGCCGCCCAAGCGAACACGCAACAAAGCAAAATCCGATGAGGTGAGCATCGATTGCGACACTGCGTTGGATAAGACTTATCACTGACCTCTCTCTGCCGCAGGCACTGGGACGCGACAATAAACGGTGTATTGTCACAAATATGGAACTGCCTCAAGTCTGCCATATTGTTCCCTTTGCTCTGTCGAACTGCGAGGGGATGTTGTGGTCCTTGCTTCATGGAATGAAAGCCTGGGATGGCGAGGACGCAATGAACAAAGTTCAATTTATCTTGTGCGAAGAAGACGACGATAGTATCATTGATGAGCCGGCCAACATGCTCTGCCTGAATGCCAAACTGCACGAGTACTGGGCAGACGGCAAATTCATGCTCAAGCCCAATGGAAAACCATACATGGTGGCTATGGAAGACGACAGCGTTACGGCGGAGCGCCAAACTGCCAATCAGTCAAATTCCCGTCACTCTATGAGAACGCGAAGCGCCGCAAAAAGGATGGTCAACAAGCTTCGATGGTGTCAGGAAATGACTTTCCATTGGCTTCGATGGACAAACATCAAGATGACGGATCGTGTCAACTACGTCTGGGATCCTCGCGACGAGTTCCAGACCCGTGATCACGAGACACTTGGGGCAACGAGTCCGGACCCATGGGAAACTGTGACCGACGGAAAGCTGATCAAGGTCTACGCCGATCGCGAAGCCGACCTCCCGCGCTACGATCTATTGCAACTGCAGGCCAATCTAGTCACAGGATTCTCGCTAACAGCAGGTGCCGATCCGAAATCCTACGACTCTGACGGCGAGGACTTATATGACTTCTTTTAGTAGAAGCAGAAGACTTACTAAAAGAACAATATTAAAAACAATAAAAAGAGGTCCCCTACGCCATTCATAGTCTATAAACTATACGTAATAGAATACTCTACAGGAAATACAATACAAGGACAGAGATACAAGGTACAAGGACACCAAGCGCAGGGATACCAACAAGAGAGATGGCAAGGACAGAGATGCCGAGGACAGAGATGCCGAGGACAGAGATGCCGAGGACAGAGATGCCGAGGACAGAGATGCCGAGGACAGATGCCGAGGACAGAGATGCTAAGGATAGTAGATATACTAATAAACGCTGTGCATGTTGTCGTAGAAGGCAATACCTTAGATGACTGGGCCCTAACCCACTTCCACCTTGAGCTGACCGGCTGTGTGGGCCTAACTCACTTCCACCCGGTCCCCACGCGATCACACGAACCTACTCACTTGTCGACAACGATGATCTTTCGCTCGGTGTGGTCCAAGATTCCAAAGAAGTAGAGGACTACGCAGCTCTAGTGCGCCATCCGAGCCGCATTGGCATCCGCTCGACTTTCGAAGCTCACGACGGTGCATCGACTTCCGGGCTCATGAGGGTGCGGGCGTGACAAGAAAAGCACAGCGACAGATTCGGCAAGAGGGCGAGGCTCGAGAGTCTGGATGTAGCTCGTGTGCGGCTTGAAACTACATCGCCTACACATAGTCAGTACAAAAGAGAGTGATTTTGATTCCCTGGGTTGGCTTACCAGAACACAGACGGCTTCTTGTCGTCCTCGTTCTCCCATATAATCAGTGAAACTTGTTGCTCCAAGAGCTTCCTCCATGCCGGCTCGAACTGATCCATGAACTCCTTGGGAAGAGGAAGAACAACGAAGTAGTTATTCTTGCGTTCAGGATTGGGGACGAAGTAAGCACGTAGCTTAACAGTAGCGATGAGTTGAGCTTGCTGTCACATGTTTTCCACAGAGCAAGGATTAACGTCAGTACACCATTCATTGGAGTACTAGCTAGTAATACAATAAATAATCCGACTCTGTTCCCGCCATTTCAGTCAATCAAGAACTCATAAAAGACGTCGAATCAGAGAAGATACGGGGACGTGTACCTGACATTGTTTTGTGCTTCAGGATAAGTTGTCCTGGAGTAGCGGCTGCTTTGTGACGTTCAACATCCACTTGGCGTACTGGAAACTGATGACGATGTTATTCCCTTCAGCACAACGTCTTCTTGCTGCTCCAGGTTTATACGGGGCTCCATGAAGCAAATGATGCAACTTTTAGGTCAGTCAACTGAAGCTCATAGCTCATACTGCCACTGCTGTTGCCACATCACGCTGCATCATCCCTAAATGTATCAACTTCATAACCACCCTACTAAAAGTTGGACGCTCACAGCTTGACGCAGTACTAGCAGAATCCGACAAGCTATCAAGAGAGGTGTAAATACTGCTGGGAAAGGTCATCAACAATGAGGCAACTTGAGGCCGGAGACTCCATCGAATTCTTTCTGGGCGAACTACCGAAGTACTCAGGGATAAGGTACCCGATGATTGTCCTCAGCGATCGACGTCTCAGCAGTCCTCTATTCCTAGCTCATCGCTAATTGAATCGAATACAACAGTTGGGTCATCAAATCCTCACGAATGCAGAGTGTACTTCAGCAAAGGCATTCTTCCTGGTATTCATGCTTCAGCCTTCCATAACAATTAATGAACAAGATCCCATCTCCTCTTCAGCTCACTCGGCAGCCAACTTGATGTTGTACTCGAGCTCCTTGGCAGCCTTGGGGTCTCCCTTTCTCTCGATAAACTTTACAGTCAGGCCATCCTTCACCGCGAACACAGAGTCGTCATCCAAATACTTTGAGTCCTCGTCAAAGATTTGTGTTGTTACCGACTTGAAGCCTCCTGATTTGACCTGGAGAATTGTTAGTACCTGCGTTGGGATATGTGCATTCGAGCTGGTCACTTACAATGAGATGGATGTGAGCAGGTCTGAAGTGGTGGCGGTGAAGCAGGTCCAAAAGCTTTCCAGCGGGGCCGTCACCCGGTACCTGAGAGATGTCGTCAACAACCAAGAGCAACTTCATCAATACATCCTGAGAAGACTCACTGGGTAGGGCGTGGGTCGCAGGCAGTAAAATCCATAACGTCCCTCCGCATCCGTCTTGAAGACTCCGCGGAGGTTGTGCTCGGGCTGATCGGCATCTTGCTGCTCGTACAGACCTGTGGTGGAACATTAGACGACATGTGCAAAAAGCTTAGCCTGATCTTCAAAACTTACCGTTTGTGGATGCTTGCCAGACATCGACTGAAGCATTCGCCAACGGTTTTCCGGTGTTGGAGCACGTCACTTGGCCGTACATGAAAGCAAGCTCGCCGTCCTCGGGGCACTTCACGGCGATTGTGCTGCCGTTGGGGCGGACAGGGGTGTCGGCCCGCCAAAAGGGGCCGAGAATGGCTGTTGCTGTGCCTGGCTGGCCGTTCTTTGTGGCCACTCTGTTGGTGATATCGTCGACGAGCCTGACAGTCTCATTAGCCTCACTGCAATTTGCATCGTTCATCATGAAACTCACGATTCGAGTCCGAGAACATCGCAAAGCAGCTGGCCCTCGTTGCGTCGGTCATTTGACATTTGGCCCGCCCAGTTAATCATGTTGACACCCATCATCCACTCATCTGTCGTAAGATCGACCTCGCGAGCAAAGTCGTGGATGTGCTGGATGAATGAAGTGAGAATCTCACGGAGTCTGGGGTTCGTCTCCGATCCCATGGAGGCGATGACCTGCTTGGTGAAGTCCTGGCCGAGGCCTTGGTACTGGCCGTCTCCGTTCTGTAATGAGCCCATGGTGGAGAGACGTGAATTTGTGTTGTATGATGAGTTTCTGGTTAACTCTAGGGAGTATCGCTGATGATGTAGATAATGCTTTTCTCGGTGAGACGACGTGATCTTGAAAGATGAGCTAACTTCAACTACCCCGACTGCCAAAAGCGTCCCGCAGTTCGATGGAGGATACTTATTCCCAATCACAGCGCGTGCATTACCCGCCATTGCTTTGTAATTGCACGTGCGCTGTTACTGGGCGGGTACCACCGGCGCTGGGCTTCTACGCTCCCGGAAACCGCCCCCCGGGTCCGGGAAACACACGCAACTGTCTTTTCGGGTACGGGGGAGAGATCCGACGCGAGGGGTGTGTCTGCCGAGACTCACAAACATACTGATAGAACAAAGGACATGCCATATTTGCACTCATTATGCACCTATTCCGGTCGGCTTGCCCCGGGGACCCCGCAGTTTGATGGCTCCAGGCTTCGTTTTGGCGGAGTCACGCGCGCGGGAAGGATCATTGGCTTCGGCTTCGGGCTGTGAGATGTGACTCTGCTGTACCCCTAAATCCGTGCGGATTTACTCCAATGATACGATGGTCATCATATCTATCATTCAGTAATATCTCGTGATAGTAGACGTGAGATGAGTGTTCACAGCCGCTCACGATGTGTACGCGAAGCCCAACTTCACAGTCTTAAAGCGCTGAATCCATGGGCCAGTTCGCGCGGTTCAGCTTTGTAACGAGCGTACTACGAACAGCTTGAGAGTTTGGGGCAACTTTGATGGTCACTGAAACTCATTATTCAAAAGTCTAGATGAGGTTTTATTCTATTTTGACATTGATTCACGCCCTCTTAACCCCATTTGTCTGCGCAACAATGCGGTGATCCTCCTCTGGGCCAAAATCCCAGCTCGCCTCATCTGAGCCGTTCGGCCTGCTAGCCCTCTTGAACCCAATCTCAACGCCCTCAATCTCAACCACGGGGCTCACAGCCTCAACCTCTGCCTTGTAGCGCCTCGCGTACCACTTCTCGCGAACGTTGGGTGAGCTGAACAGTTCTGGCGCATACCCCTTCATTGCCTTGAGCGCCGTGCCAGAAATCTGATCGACGCTGTGACTGTGCCGCAACGCAAGGAAATCGTCGCCCGCGAGCTTGCGCAGTTTCTCCTGGACATCCTCTGGGTATTTTCCGGCCTTAACAAGAAGGAGATCATACTGCAACAGCGATGCCTTGCCGTGCCATGAACCACCCTTCGTCGCTCTGTTATAGAGACCCGTGAGAGCGGCGATGGCGCCCATGCATCCCGTTCCATAGTCAGAAATGGGGAACGGAGGGACAACGGGCTCATCAAGCCCCATGAACTGACCCTGCGCCCACGCCACGCCACTCACCTATAACCCAGTCAGCGATTTGCAGTCTCAAAATAGAAATGTGTTGACTTACACAATCGGCAATCTGCTGCCAGCCGGGCCGCTGGCACCACTCCCCTTGGTATCCAAAGCAGTTTTCATTCACGTACACGAACCCCTTTCCGCGCTCCTTGGCCAGCTTTGTGAGGGCAGTAGCACCGTACCCCAGCTTCTCTAGGGCACCAGGGCGGTAGCCATCCAGCACAACATCCGCCTCGGCCAGCAGCGTCTCAAAGTGCTTTCTCCCCTCCTCAGTCTTGAGGTCGAGATCCGCGGCATGCTTGCCCATGTTGCCATCTACTTGGAAGAACGGGACATCGCTTAGGTTCGGGCTGGTAATCTTCAGAACGTCTGCGCCGTACTCTGCGAGGATGCGTCCTATGACGGGCCCTGCGATGATGCGGCACAGCTCGAGCACCTTGATACCCGACAGTACCCGCTTGTCAGATGTAGTCGGCAAAGGTGATGGTGGTGTTGAAGTCTCAAGATTGTCCACGCTCCACGGAGGAAGTGCGGTGTTAGTTTTGCCCTGTAAGCTGATCAGCAGTGATATCGCAAACTCAACAAGCGAGACTTACATGAGGCGTCTTGATAAAATCCTCATGCTTGAGAACAGGCACTCCAGCTTGGCGCTTATCGGCGTTCATCCGCTCAAGTTCATCGACCGAAAATTGCTTCACATGAGACTCTATCGCCTCAACAATAGCACTATGATCTTTCAAGTCTGGCCTAAATGGCTCGAGACCGATCATGCCAAGCGTTGTCGATGCTTCAAGAGATCCATGAATGTGGTAGTACTCACCCGGCTGCTTTGTCTCATACAAATTCGCCGACATGCGGCGATAAGGATCTGACTGTGCCTGAAGCAAATCCGTATCTAAGGGCACAAGTCAGAAAACTTCATGTTGCTTTCAAAATTGCAACAACATAACTCACCTTTTAAAAACTGCTTCACTTCTTTATCGAGTTTGCCATATCCTCCAACAGTTGCCAAATACGCCTGAATCAGGAACGCGGTGCTTTTCTCCAAGCTCACAGACACCTTCTTGCCGGAGGCGACGCCATCCTTGGTGGCTGCAAGGGCCCCTGCTACACCACCTTCAATAGCCTTCAGAGCTGAGGCCAACTCCGTTTCTTTGAAAGGAATCGGGAAATAGGGCAAGTCGCGGGTCGCCGAAAACTGCACAGCCTTTGAGATCTTTTCTGCCTCTGCTGGTATCTGGACGGAACTCAGGACGAGATCCAAGATTTGTTTCGTCTCAGCGACGGCTGAGTATTTTGAGTCCGCCATTGTTGCTCGCTTGCTATTGTGAAAACAAGGCCGTTCGAAACGATTCTCAGTTGGCTCGCGCGTACAAGGCCTGGATTGAGTAAAGAGTAATCCAGAGAGTACAGCGTAACCAAACCGTTGGAACTACTGTTGATTGTGTGCAGCTATCAGAGTTACGATAATCGTCAATTACGAAAAAAGGATCATTATTTCTTCCGACTTTCAGCTCTGCGATTGCGCATCGTGCCCATATCCGCTCTGCATTTCCCGTAGCTCTCGATCTGACTCCCCGATCCGATTCGGCGATTCGCGAGAGGTCGGAAGCAGCTGCGTTACAGCAGTGGACAACGAAACGTCGGACCCGCATCGGGAATCGGGCGGAAGGGTACATGTGTGCTGTCCCAGTGTCCAGCAGTAGCAACTCTAGAACCACTTCCAACAGACCCGGCTCCCGATGGATTCGGAAATGGGCGCAGCTACTGCGGGTCTAGCTTGAGGGGCTGGCAAGTGAGGTGGCGCTTCCTGGGGCCGCGCTCAGGCTTGGGACAATGAAATGGAACCGTTTCCTCTCGGTCTTGGGGCGATCGTCGGATAAGGGCATCGGTGGGCTCGAGGTCATGTCGGGTAAGGGACAAACTTTGAGTGTTTTATTGGTTAAAGATAGGTGCGTTTGACATTACAGTTTAATTGAAATGGTGTCCTCGGAAGGTGGCACTTATGCTAGTCGCTGCTGGCTTTTAGTCAGTTGTTTCCAAGCCAGTTTCGCTGTCATATTTCTATGCTGGCCCTCTCTCGGTGTTACCAGCAGTGTCTTCCTTGCAGAGCTGACGTGGTAACGCAACGGTGGAGGGTAGTAACGATGATCCAGTCCGCATTGGATATCAATTGCATCGTCTTCGAGTCTTTCGAGTGAAGGCATGAGTTGAATAATGGCTCAAAATGCCGTCGGACTTGTAAGCGGTGGATATATCGCGTGGGTTGACGGAACGGATGCGGGACACTGTTGGATGCCGAGCCAAGCGGTTGACGATCCAACCCAACAACCCGTTTCTTCAAGCAACCAACCACAGCCAATGGTAGTTACTGCAGAAGTAAGACCCCGACCATTATTGGCTACGCCACCGTGGGATTGACGACTCTTGAGTTCTGACTTGTTCCCCATTTCTCTTTGAACCTCCAAAAACCTCGGCATCCTTTGAGGCGCGGGATGGTTGAACTGCGCCGCAGCGGGCAGCAAAATCTGGGGAAACATTTGTGAGCTAGGGCCCCCTTGGAAAAGTGCTCCCCCGCAAAAGAAGCGAGAGAGCGCGCGCGCAAGCAAAGGGGGAAAGGGAAAGCCAAGAGCTCTGCCCCGGACCATCCTTTGCCTCAGTTGGCCGCCGCCGCCGTAGTCCTGTCTGGCCCCCCAGCCCCGAGATTCAACGTCTCCTATCTTGCCACGCACTCGTCTCTAGTTGAATTGAGACAGCTTTGAGGCTGTCACTTTTTTCATATCGTATCTTCAATCAGATTGAACGTCGAAGGCGAGCAAACGATGCCTACGAAAAGAGTTCGTCAGAGCGAGCGGCGTAGATGCGTCAAGGCTTGCGGGAATTGCAAGCGGCGCAAGGAACGCTGCGATGGTCAACAACCCTGTCGGAGGTGCGTGATCCGCAGAGTCGAAGCCGACTGCACCTTCATCGGCCCGCCGACGAACTTTGCCGCTGCGGAGGACTCGTCATCCGTGAGAAGTCCTGATCGCCCGCAGGTTCATGTTCCTCCTGCTCCTCCTCACCGAGGCAGTCCTCCCGGTCACGGTCAGGATCTCTTCAGCTCTTATGGGCCGACTGCCTCCTTTCATGAAGCTGTCATTTCACCGAGTCATCACCATCAGCACCGGCGCGCGTCGTCGTCAATCAGCCACCTCTCACAGAGCACTGCGGTACCAAAGGTATCGCGACTCATCGCAGATGGCAAGGGACGGTTCATGTTCATCGGCGACGCCGCCAATCTGGCCTTCTTGAAAGTGATACGCCGGCTTGTGCGCGATCGCGTCGGCCTGTGCCCCTTCACTGATGATCCCTTGCGGCATATCATGGTCGAGGCGACTCCTGAAGGCCGCCCAAAATGGATCATCACGAATCCCGCCGATATCCCCTCCAAGCCTAGCACTGAGCAGGCAAGATATCTGCTGCGGTGGTATCTCCGTGCAACAAACTGTATTCTCGATGTTTTCAATGAGTCTGAAATCCTCAAGGACCTCGAACATTGGCTGCGTGGAGAGCCCATGAGTCAAGATGAAGAGGCCATGAACTGTATCTTCTTTCTGATATTCGGCATCGGAGCACAACGGTGCCC